AATGTTATAACCAGTGTTCTAAAAGGTGTAATGCGTTGAGATGCGTCGAGGTCGAGAACCAAGAATCACAAGTTTAAGCGTGTCAATGCGGAAAATAGGCATCATAATGTGTTTCGTACTTTTAATATTATTTTAAGTATAATAAATAGATTTTTATATTAAAAAACAATTTTTTTTATATAAAATGAAACGTTTTTACTTTAATTAATTATAGAAAAAAATATAGAAAAATGATTAATTAATTAAATGAAACGTTTTGCTTTATTTTGATCAAATAAATGGTAATAGGAATAGGAGAAACGTTTACTCTACTTATCAACTGGGTTGATTGAATTGAAAGAGTTATTAACCTCATTGGGACCAACCCTTATGTGAAATTCCACCTCTGCTCAGTGGGGCGTTTTGTCGAATAGTTGGTGCTCCAAAATTGAGTCATTCAAAGAAAGACTTGCCAAATTGCTTCCTTCAAGCCGAATATCATCACTAAATTGCCAGAAAATGAAACCACCCACCTATGTAGAATTATATTTTGTAAAACTGCATCAACAGAAAGAAATAAAACTCATGTTAAACAACCCAACAGAAAGATCCAATACCCACTTTCCCAGAAAACATATAAAAGAACCCGCATCAGATTTCATATTGAGCATCTAATTTTTTTTCTCATCTCGTTCAAAATGCATTTAGAAATACGAACTCTGCATTCTTGAATCCATTTAAGCAAAAATTCAACTAAAATCCCCAACTCGTCATGTAAAATCACCCAATAAACAAAAACAAATGTTTAGTATTACCTTTCTAGAGTGATGAAAAATCCGAGAAGGGAAAGTCATGTTGATGGCAGATTCAGATGCCCCTCTCCTCAGAATGCTAGTGAAGGATCGATTAATCAAGGCATGTATATTCGTTTTGTTTATAATGTAATTAGGGGTTTGGTGTGCTGTTATGCGGCAGAAAGACGACCGATTTCCATTCTCCATTTCCTCTAAGGAAGTAAAAGCATACAGAACCTATAGCCACGTATAAAAAGAAGAAAATAGCTACTGTTTTGAAACTTGGAAGGTGTGATTGTAGAAGGAATTCAGATCGTGGAAGTATGTTTCAATTCATGTCTTTCATTTCAGGCAAACTTTTAGATCGACGAAATCTGCGTATCTGAGGATAGATCCATTGATTTGCTATCTACAAGTTATGGAATCAACAAGATTGAAGTTTAGAAATTCACTAGATAGATACCCAGAAAACAATGAAATCTGACTTACTAGTAAAGCTACAATAGAATCGTCTCCTCAGAGAAGTGGTTCCTCCATTGAAATCTTCTTTTACGAGTGCCTGGAATGACAGTGTAGATTGGCTACACAGTAAGCAACCAGGTAATTGTCCCACATCGGAAGTTTGTAAGTGAAGCACAAGAAATGGTGCCTATAAATAAATGGGCCAACTAATGCCTTAGTAGTCTTCTGGGCCTTTCACTAGGCTAGAAGTTAAGTAGTTTTTAGTTTATTTAAATACATAATATAATATTAACCAAACAATTTAATGTAAAAAATAATTAATATAAAAATATTTTAAAATAATGCGTGTTTTTGCGCGCATTATCGCGCTTTGGGATGCCCTGACGGTCAACAAGGAAAGTTGACCGCATTTTCACGCGCGACGCGTTTTGACCGCGCGTCGCGCTTAAGCGCGCTTAGACGGCGCATTTGCACGCGTTTTAGAACATTGATATTTATCGAGTAAAAACATACCATTTAACGAAAACGAAGTTAAAATATACGTAAATAAACTTACCAAATCGAAGTAATTGATCGAAATTTTTTTTTCTTCAGCTATCGATATTTTTTCAGATTTTCAGAGTGAAGAAGATGAGAGAGTTTTTATTTG